GTGGCCAGATCGTGTTCGGAGCTAGCCTCGAACAAGGAGTATACTCTGTTTCATTTCATGATGTACCGCAGGAAAGGCTACAAGCGCGAGCTCCTTGCTCTGGGGCACATCCCGACGGCACAAGCTCTCGTGACGTAAGAGCAGCTGCCAACGCTATGAGCTCGCGCTTCTAGCCTTCGCTGCGGTACAACATAAGGTGAAACGAGGTGTAGTTGTCCCGCGCCGCCGCGGAGGGCGCTGAGGTGTGAGCACCGTGGGTATGAGGTCTCTCCTCGGCGGCCACGGTGTCGGGGGCTCGCCTTTTTCGCGGTGTGGTGGTGGTGTGCGGTCAGTGGCTGTCCTCATTTTTGCTTTGGTGCTGTGTCAATTACCGGTGCCCCGAAGATGAGCCTTAACCCGAAGAAGAAGGTATGCTATAAGGATGGGAAAGACGTGCTTCGTTCCCAACTGCAATTCGGGGTACCGGAACTGCGCATAGCGAGTGTTCTTGTTTAAAGCTCCATCGAATGGCGCTCGCCTAGAGCAATGGCGTCGTGCAACCCCGAGGGCCGATAGCAAGTTACTACTTAGTCTCCTCATCTCGTTGACCAAGTATTGACCAAGCTTGACAGTCTAATTTCTGTCGAAGATTGGGAATGCGAAGATGTCTGGACAGAAAAGGCTTAAGACACCAAGGCTGTGGGCTGCATGCTATCTTATGTAACTGGATTTTTGAGCGTGAAAAGAAAAAAAAAGCTACACGCTGCCCGGCATGCCGATCAGCTTTCAGCATCGACAAGAACACTTCTACTGAAGCAGCCCTGACAAACGTGAAGAAGAGAGGGAGCCTTATACACACCAACAAGAACCTTTTCCAGCTACTGAAGAAAGCGGAACAGTTCTTCGTGGAAAATAAAAGCCACCAGACTGTCTACTGGGACACAATCGACAGTGTTCTTGACACATGCACAATAACGTTTCCATGCGCCAAACACAAAGAAGAAACAACTGCCCAGCTGCTCCACTACTACTTCAGCAGGCGAATGCGACAACACTGTAAGCATATAACGATGAGTATCAACAAACAAGCTCAAGAAATAAAGAAATCAGCAAAGCAGCGCTCTTCTTAGTTTAAGGGCATGGGCGAGAAACACAGGATGTAGGGGGTGGCGTTCTTTGGTAGTATGCAGTGAATTCAGCTTTTATGTACATTTTAAAGCAAAAATACTAGTCAGGTATTTTTTACCTGTAAGACGGAATGCCATCATATTGTGAAAGTGTAGATGAAAAGTGATTTATGTCTTATAACCGCTACTATTCTTTGACTTTCAGTCACTGTGTCATCATGTCAATCAGTATGTCATCATACTGTGTCATCGTTTCAGTCACTATGTCATCATAAATAGGATCTTTTTCTGCTCACAAGGTTGGTATGTTCCATGTTTATTTTATATATAAACCATCTGTAACGCTAAAACTTTTATGCGCATGTAAAGAATTATTTAGGCCCCACTATGTAACATTATTAATTTTTTTTAATAGAGTAGGAGCAGGGGGGAAAAATCACCCGTCCTCATTTAAAGCCACGCAATGTGTATAAACAAGTTACGGAACTGGTACCAAAGGTGTTGATTAACAAAACATACGAGTACGACCCAGGTGTTTACTCTAAATTACCCTAAATTATTGAAGGCCAAGTAGATTATGCCGGGAAGTTCTATGTTTATACGAGTATTTTTGTGACGTTGATCGAGTCAACATCGGAATGTTCTCGTTAAAAAAAAAACAAAAAAAACAGGGACCGCACGGGGAAAACGCAATCAGTGCCAGTGCGCCAACATAAATCCATCATTTGACCACACAGTACACAGGGACCGAGTAAAGAATGCATAATTTCCTTCACAAGCCCTCTATACAAGCCTTCACAAGCCCCTCTATACGTGGGCGCCATCTATCCCCGTGCGAGCGAAGCGCGCTTGGTGCGCCGAACACAATGTGGTCGCCGCGCGAGACAGAGTCATCACCTAAATGTATTTCTTCCACCGTGGTGTAACTACATCCCTAGCGTGCACCTCGGTGCTTGGGAAATTTAGTAAAAGGTCTATGGGGACGCTGTCTGCTTTTGTGTGCTATCAATACCCGGCCGATTGAGTCCCCCCAAGGCAATCCACTTTCTTTCCAAAGACGTTGCCATGCCGATAACTATCGCGTTCATTTAGGCTTAGGAATGGCCGGAATCAAAAGACTATCCAAAAAATGCGGCGAAGTCATTGCTCATGCTTCGCGATTTAAGTGAGGAAAGGTAAAGCGAAAGCCTCCTGCAACATTCGTTGCTGACTAACGCGCCCGATATGGCAGCTACAACGACATATTAGTTCCAAAGCGAGTGGCACTGACTCACCGGGCCACCGCCATGTTTCCCCGCCGTCCTTACTCTGCCCGGTCACGTGACCTAAAACTCCCCCTCGTAGGGAAATGCGGTTAACTTCTAACCGCTGTTAGGGTTAACCAGCTTCGAGAAAACGGGCCCTGGAGTATCTGGCATTCCGAAGCTGCACTTTGTTGTCGCACTCCCTTCTACGCTCATCCAACTCAGCTTTAATTCCACGCTTCGCCTTTCCCGAGTTCTTTCACCCACTTCTCCAGTTAGCCCCGCGGGTTTATATCACATGAGCGAATGACGTTTTAGCAAACAGCGGTCATTTGAGCGTATCGACGTTTTAGCGAATGACGTGTATCACTGGTGCGAATGTTCACCCAGCCGGCCGCGTTTGCTATACGAGCTGCGACGATGAGTCGAAAGCACTGATCGTCTGCCGAACGTCTCCGCCTTTTCACCTCGCTTTCCTCTCCACGCAAACAACGCAGCGCATGCGCACTTGCCATCCAATCTGCGCAGGAGGCGTCCGCCGTTAAATTGCAAACGCTCCCAATGGTTTGGGGTGAACCCTCTCTCCAATGGGGGGGGTTGTGTGAAACCCAAGTAACATTGCGGCCCCTTTTCTCGCCTTGTTCAGGTGCACCTCTTTTCTTCCACCGTGCCCTTCACTGTGCTCTCCTACCACGCGCTTTCCCCTACCATCCGCTTCACTGGCAAGCTCATGCAGCTTTGAGTTCCTCCCATGAATAACGCCCCGACCGCAATGCCTCCGTCGTGCCACTAGAAAGTAACCAGTTGCACATTCCGCTTCTCTCGTAGCGGAGCGGCGCAGGGCTCGATGAAGTTTTTCGCCTGCTCCGGCCGCCTTCATGTTGCTGGGCGTGGTTGTTCTTGTAAACCTTGTGCTATTCAAATAGATTACTTTGAGCAGAAGTGTCGAGCTTCATACAGCCTGCGCCACGAAAACATGTCTTAAAAACACCACGCAATTTTTTTTTTTGTCGTGATTATTTTGAGGTTTACTTTGTGAATAATTTTGAATATTTTGACATCCGTGACGCCACTTCCTTAAGATGTGAAAATAATAGTGATAGGCCGAACTTTTGTCGAATTGAAAATTCGACGCCGAATTGTAATTCGGAAAAGCCGAACTTTTCTAAAAATTCAGCAAAGATCCCGCAAAAATACATCGTTACCAGACTTAACGTTGATATTTAAATTTTCTGGCGCAAAAAGAATTTTTTTCTTAACTTGAATGCAACATGTAATTCATTTTGACACAGTTATTACTAAAGAATGTGATATTCAACAATATAATTGTATCGCTGTCGCTTTTTGTGTTTATTGGTAATTTTACAGTGACTTCTTGCAGAAGTTGCGTGACAACGAGGTTGGGTAGTAGCGGCGCAGTCACGAATTTCGGTTTTGAGGCCTCATCAGCGCAAGCCTGCAAGTGCGCGCATATTGTTAAAATAAAGGCAATAACGTTGCGTTCTTGCTTTCTCTGGGAGTCGCCGTTTCGCGCGCGAAAACGAATGGAACGGTTGCTGAGCCTTCAATAGGAAAGATAACAGTATTATTGTAAATAGTTTCTTTTTTTTTTGTAGCGTAAGCTACACTGGCCAAGGTTGAGCAGTTTCGCGTGGGTCGCATAATGAGCCATGCTCCGTGCTGCGCATGCGCGAGGAGCAGTGACGTTACACGCCGCACAGCTGGCGCGCCGGAGCCGCCGCCGCCGCTGTGCCCGCCTCGCCGGTCTGCGCATTCCAGAGGAGTGACGTCATAGCCACGGCAGACACACTGGCGCCGCCGCGTGCCCAGATGTGCGCTTCCGCTGCGCAGTAGCCAAGTCTGACGCTGCACCGGAGCCGCTCGATAGCGCCTCTCATTTTGTGCGCGTAAGCTCACACTACGGATATCCTGGCATAGCCGAGCTAAGCCACCGCAATTTTTATTTGAGTCCCTTCACGTCAGCTTTGCATGAAAGTGTACATCCCATATTCGCAACGTAAAGTTTGCAACTTTTAAAATGCCGGTTTCTCGTGTTAGGACACACACGGACGTTTAGGAATATAGGAAAAGTTAGGACTGCTGGATGTGCAACGTCGAGCATGACAGTCCTGTTTAGTTTTATGCAGACTCTTAAAAACCGCAAAATAAGGCTAATTAAAATGCAATATTACTTTGTTTTGGCATAAACTTCTTCTGAGCCGAAAACAGGATTGTTATAATTGCGAGGAGTGCCTTAAACTAATTTACAGTCAATGTTTAAACTACAGGGTGAAACAAGGAGACGGCAGGCTCTTTAAATCGACCGGAAAATTCAGTTTCTTACCTATCGCGCTACGACTTTGTGCAGCGTTGCCCACAGATGGTGCATTTTTTTTTTTTTGTAAAATTTGCAAGGAGCGAACTTACCTGAGGAAAAAGTAAAGAAAGAAAAAGGCTTAGCTCCTATGGAAACGCAGCGACGCCACAGGTCTGCAAACAACACGGCGCCGTTTCGCACGGGACACAAGAGATGGCGCAAGCGGTCGCGACGCCAACTGCCACCAACGAACGAGCAGACGACGTCGAGAGCCGGCCCTTTTGCAGATAAGGAACTGCAGCTCCTCGTTACCGCGCCTGTTTTTGTTTCTGCGACTGTCGCCGCCTGCGGAACGCGAGCCACTTTTGTGTCGAAAGGATCGTCTGCTAAAGTGCCGGCTCTCGGCGCCGTATGCTCCTTTGTTACAGTGGTTCGTTGGCCTTACGTTGGCGGCGTTCGTTGCGCCATCTCTTGTTTCCCGTGCGAAACGGCGCCGTGTTGTTTGAAGACCGGTGGCGTCGCTGCGTTTCCATAGGAGCTAAGCATTTTTCTTTCTTTACTTTTTCCTCAGGTAAGTTCGCTTTTTGCAAATTTTACAAAAAAAAAAAAAATGCACCATCTGTGGGCAACGCTGCACAAAGTCGTAGCGCGATAGGTTAAGAAACCGAATTTTCCGGTCGATTTAAAGAGCCTGCCGTCTCCTTGTTTCACCCTGTATACCTCGTGGCATCACGGGAAAGGTCAAATGAAAATCACGTTATCCAGGATGTATCGCATCACTTGTCAGTTGCGCAGTGGACTGCGTAAATTACTGGTCGATCTGCTGTCCTTGAGGCAGAAAACATTGAAGAGAACCACACTCGCAAAGGCTCACAAACTTACAATTACCGTGTTGCCTACTCCACACCTCGCCGTAACCGCTGGTTGCACTAGACTGTACGATGGTAACCGCACGACCGCACGGCGTCCATTTGCAATTCATGGCCCCGTCGCGTTCTCGCGCGTGCGCACACATTTGTTGAATTTTTGCCGAATCTTTGCTGAAATTTCCGTCAAAAGTTCGGCACGTGCCGAAATTTGACGAATCTGAAGTTTGGCAGATTCGGTCCATCGCTAGAAAATATTTCAAAAATATTTTGACGTCCTTGGTTAAAATATTATTGTCCTCATCTTGACGTCTCAAACTTGGAACTTTGCAGCGTCGTAGTTCGGACTGGAAAGCGATCGGAGGTGGCGGTCATCATCTTGCTTGCAGGTAGCGTCGCGCTTCTAAAACCATTTTCCGAAAACAAATGTCATGCACTCGACTGCTGTTCTTAGGACCTTTTAAGTTATAAGTGATTTAGAATGCAAAAAGACCTTCCATCAGCTATCAGGCCGCACGTAACGCTTGCTTGGTTGAGACAAACATCATAGATAGCGACACCGCGTTTTTTCATGATGTATGTCAAGTGATTTACGTAGACAAAGAAGCTAAATTCCGTGCCATACAATTTCCAGCTGATTGGAAAATGCGTGTATCTCGTTCAACCGCGCCAGAAGCTTTGTTCGTTCCCACCGATCAAGAAACATATCAAGGTGGGAACGTTTGCATTTACAACCTTTTATTTAACGTCTCGATCGTTCCTACATAACCCACTCGGTATACACGAGCCGAACAGAAAATATACAGTAAAAAAGTAACTCACGGAACCCGGTTAACAGGGCAGGAGTCAGATGCAAAGCGAGACTGCAACCATACGAAGACGACCTTACAAGATATAAACGCACAAAAAGGGAGCCGGATTACTCAGGGCTGCGTAGCGCACGCGCTTACATTTGTTACGTGCAGGCAAGACAGAGGGATATTCAGCTCGCGTTTATTGTAGATTAAAAGTTTTAAGTGAGACGCGTGCCGAAGTGACGTGCGTGTTCAGAACATTGCCGCCGGGCGTGTCAGGTCCGCAGGATCAACTGTCGAGCGAGTCCCAACACGCACGTTGATAAGACATTTCCACTGTCAACTTGGAGCGAAACTTCTTAGGCACGCAACACATGAATCCGTCAACATGCCAACTCAACTCCATCAGCAACTAAACAGAAAGAATCCAACAAAACCCCACCACTGCGACGGCTACCACCGCGACGGCTGCATTGATGGACGACGTCGAAATAATAAAGCCCTGATTCTGACATATTACCGAAGTGACGTCAGAGACGTCGAAATAATGTTGAGTTATTTTGACGGTAGACGTCGAAATACTAAGTACTTTTTTGTATGGATTGGATTCGATTGAGAAACTGAAAAAAAAAATTGTAAAGCCAGATTCAACGTTGCGCAACAATATAAAAAATCTAGTAAATAAACGTAAAACAATAATGTTTTTGCTTTTGTTTCGATAATATCCATTAAAGAGTGATGGTTATTCTTCTACGTTAAGACATATTTGAAAACATACAGTTGAGATTTTACAGATAGACCATCCTAAGCCAAGCCAAAGCGCATTGACATTTGGTTGACGATTGCGTGTTGCGTCCGTTGCGTAGTACTGTGCTTGCAGCTGGCGTGGTCGACGTGCCGCCTTGGGTATTCGCGGATTCGTGGGCTCCGTACTGCTTCGTTCGGCAAAAAGCGAGCTTCGTCGATTGGTAAGCACACTTGAATTCACGAAGCGACCGAACGTTTAGCATTCAGTTCTGCGCCACGATAATTTTAGTAGGTTTCATTTTACAGTAGGGAAGCGCAAGCCCTGAAAGATCACTATTCACGGGGGCGTTCTGGCCGGCCACATTTGTGTCCTAAATACAACCGGGAGTTGGCAGGTAGACTAAGCTAATGTTACTCCACCTTCTTATCGCGCTCCGGAACAGATATCTTTGGTTGCATTTCCACTTCTGGTGATTTTGATGTGTATGGGCAGTGTAGCGGCGAGCGGTCGTGTATTCACTCAACATCAGAGATACCAAAGCCCTACTTTTTAGCACGTAATCACCGACATGACGAGAACGAAGGGATGTGCTTCAGTTGTCCCACCACCCAGCGCAAACTTCCTACCATCGATAACGCTGCGTCCCAGCCGCAGCGTTATCAATGGTAGATAACGCTGCACGCTATCGATGCTGCGCGTTGGACGTTTGGGCGTTGTGCTAGTTAACGTTGCGCGTTATCGATGATGTCACTGCACGCGCAGCCGAACCCCGTCGGAAGGCAAGGCCCCTTCCCCTCAAGCGCTTTCTTTGGCACATTTGACTCCTTCTCCGTCAGTGAGCAGTTGGCAGCGAAAGGAAAAAAAAAACTATACTCTGGCTGCCCCATCTAGTTACTCTAGTAGCTCGCACATTCGCGTACTTTGCTACCGCCAACGTTACTAGAACCCCTCAGTTGAGAAACTGACATAGAGCCTACCCTGAAAAAGTGGCGCTGATCTTTATCCAGTACCGAGCTAATGGCGATCGCCACGCTGCCATTTTCCCCGCAGTGGCAACTCCGTAAACCGCACGGCTGCACTTACTGGTTCCCTCGAGTCACGACGCCATCTTGTAGGGCCATCTTGCACTAGCCATATAAAGCAACTTCCACGTTTCAACTCGTCGCTAAACTTCTTAGTTCTACTTTCACCGAGATCGTACTTATGGTGAATTCAGCTCGCAGATCTCGAGCGCTCCCAAAGCGCTCCATTTGGAGCGCGCATATTCCGCTCGCAGATCTGGCTCAAGTTGGTCATCTTCCGCTCGTAGATCTCTGGCAGCGCCCGCTCCACGAAGCGCCCCAACCTCCGCCGAACTTGCTCTGCGGGAGTTCACAGATCTCTCCGGAAGTTGACAGAGCGGCCCACGTGATTTCCGTCTAAATTGGCGGTGCGCATGCGCGGCGAGGTTGGAGAGATCGGCGGGCCGGTCGGGCCACGGTCGTGGAGTTGGATCTGTTCGGGTGCGTCGGTTGTTTACTCTGGATTGTGACGGCTCGAACGCTTCTAACTCGCGTAGATCAGGGATAAAAAGCGGGGATGTGGAGCGTGGCAAATCGTAAGCGCTGACATCTGTGATCGTGAGAGGAATAACGAGAAAAAGAACGACAGAGAAGCCGGAGGCAGACGCAAGGTTGGGCCTATTCATTCTGCAGCCAGTGATTGTTTACCATTTTACACTGCATTCCGTCGGCGTTTTCCCGTGAAATAAAGCAAGAAGTGGTTAGGCAACGACCGCGCAAGTGATGGTTTGTTACCTCCGTGTTTATTAAAGTCGTACTAGAAATCTGAACTCCACCGCTGGCAATCGCTGTCCGTGCCCCGCCGCTTTGAGGCGGCCGAAAGGTATGTACGGTGCCGAACGCGGACGTCTTCGCTATTTGTGACATGGGCGCCGTGGTACGTATAATTTCGCCCGGCCTGTGTCGCGTGTTACTTCTGCAGCTAAGCAGTGACAGTCGTCACTGGTCGTCGGAAAGATCAACCGGCTGAGGCGTTGGTGGGCTGGTCAAGTTCGAGCAGCGGCCATTTTGTACGGCGGAGGGATAAGGGGTGTGGGGGAGGTCGCTCCAAAAATGCAAGTTTATCTTCCCCTCGTCGATTCGGAGCGGGTCCCACGGAGCGGAATTTTGCCGCCCTCGCGGATTTTGGAAAGCGCTCCAGATCTGCGAGTGGAATTCACCATTAGTTCGATCTCGGTGGACGCCAGCGGCCCAGGTTTCAAGGGCGAGTTTCCCAACTGAGTGGTTTAGTAACGTTGGCTACTGCTTACGGTTGGTTTCGACGACAGGCCACACTGGTGCCATCTATTGGGTGACTTGAAACACTTTTAACAATGTTAGAAGTAGGGTTCCGAAAAACTCCGATTGGTCAATTCGGATTTATCCGATAAACTCTAAATTTCAATGAACTAACTCCCCCCCCCCCCCCCCCCCCCCCACACACACACAGAGACATAGGCATAAGTATTTTAGAATTATTGGTTTAATAAGCGCGTAGAGTAAATGGTCCTGGGAAAATGCCACCACACTTTTGTTGCAAATTTCGGTCAGGACAGCAGGTCATTATACTTTCAGGTCAAGAAACAAAAGGAACTGTTTGTTTCCAGTTTGGGTCACACTTTGTGTGCTTTAGAGGAAGGAGAGGTTGTGTTTTTGTAACAGTGACAGCTATGGACCATTGAGATTGGATAAAGTGAAGAAGAGGGACGGTTGAAACTTCTCTATTACATCCTTCACCACTCTACCTCGGGGGCCGCGCCGTAGGTTAAGGGAATAGTATGGAATGAATACAAGCTGTCCAGTGTCTACCTCAAAAGGTAGACACTGGACAGCTTGTAAAACCCCTCAAATTTGGGGGTTTTACGTGCCAAACCAACGGCGGGCATCTGGCACGCCCCAGCGGAGGACTGAGGATTAATTTCGACCACCTGGGGATCTTTTGACGTGCAACCGAAAGCTCGGTTACACGGCGCCTCCTCCGCAAAAAGCCTCCGTCAGATTGCGGGCACCTCGGGCGGGATTCGAACCCGCCACCTGGGGATTCGTAGGCCGGCGCTCTCGCCTCGGAGCCACCGAGGCGGCTGTCCAGTGTCTACCTCCAGGAGCTTATTGAAGCAACACTTGTGTGGAATTTTAGTCCTAGGACAAATTAGTACTGTTAGTAGTGTTTTAGTTTTTTTTATATATATAGTATTGTTAGGCGGGGGGTGGTGTTTCAGTTTTTGTCCGATCCCCAAAGGCCTTCCGGTGATATTCCACACTGCCTTGTGATAGCTAGAGGGAAAAAATGGCTTAGAAGGGCGAGAGGAATCTTATGTTTGTCTTTTTTAGACTTGGGCTAGGTGGCGCAAGCCACCGCCCGTTGCAATGGGAAAGGCCATTAACATCGATCCATCGAGAGGCAAAATGTAAACCGGCTGCTACATTATCGCCTTTCGCAAGGGGCCAGAAATAACTGAATGTTAATCAGCAACGAAAGCGTAATTTGCTAACGCTTGTCTCAGAAATGTACCTTGCAATCGTCACGTTGCTACAAGTGACGACAGGGGGACGGCCGCGATCACTGCGCAAAACCCCATCTTCTTTTTTTTAAACTTTTTCATATCGCCCGCAACCATAGATGGTATTTTCTTCCCTTTCAATCGTGTATCGCTCGTTTGAAAGAGAATAGCGATTTCGTACAGTTATCCAATAAACCGGCGAACGCGACAAGCGAGTGCCCATTCCGGCGGTTGAATCAGACAACAGTCCAAACCTTTCTACAAAACCCTCATTGCCCTTAAAAAGTGTTTCTTTAGTCAATGCGCCAGGCACGACAAAACTGAAATAAGACGGTAGTTCGTAAACTCGTCCGTTGCCCCTCCCATCTAAAGTGGCTTAGAAATAGCCGTTTTCATTCCCGTCAGCCAAATTCCGATCTCGATGATACCAAACCTTTCTAAAACCCAAGACGAAGGCTGCAAAGTGGGGAAAAACACAAGACGTCTTTTTGAGACATCGAGTGTTTGTCCCCTCGTTTTAGCCTTAGCCTTGGGTTTCAGAAATGTTTAACTTTAATCAGCTCGCATGCCTTCATACGTTATCTTCGATGACACCATTCAATATTCCTAAAAGTACATGTTTAATTTTTTTTTTTAATAATTTCTACGCAGGTCACGTATCTGAACTTCACCGAAGACTGGTGATATATTTGCTTCAAATGAAAATAACTTAGCAACTCCTTTTCAGTGAGGAAACGCAAAAAAGCTGAAGCTAGATTGTAATTCTGCAACATATTCGTTACGACGTTATTACTATCTTCAGCTGCACCGGAAGTACGAGCAAAAAAAGCCACAAGTTCTCAATCGTTTTTTTTGCGTCACAGGCGCGAAAAACTCATTTATCATCTCATCAATATAACATCTTGTTTTTGCCGCCACGAACTCGATTAACTATCTGCCATGTTTTTGTTGTGTCAAAGCCATTCTTTTCAAATTATCTTTTGGAGTTTCTGCGCTTCGAAGAACGAACTAATGCGCACGCTTTGTTCCCTGCTGTTTTCAACTCTTCCTTCAGCACTAAAACGCTTGGTGACCGTAAAAAGCGTCTCCAAAGAATATTCTTATAACAGTCATCGCCACTAAAATGTGTGACTAATAGATTCCTGATCTGGCATACGTCTTTTAATTTTAACTTCTTTTTCTTTGCACGTAAATGTAAAATTAGAAAACCGATCAACAAACCATCATACTACATTGATGGCTAAACCGGGCGATTTCAAGATACATTTTTGAGACAAGCGCTGCCAAAGTAGGCCTTCATTCCTGATTAATAATCAGTTATTTCTGTCCCTTTGCGGAAGGCGATAATACAGCAGCAGATTTACATTTTGCTTCGTTTCATGAAAAGCGCGAGTCGGCCCGACTGGCGCTTTTCTGCATTAAGCGCCGAGGAGACGCCGACAAAAAGCGCCGTGCGTGGTTTGGTGACCTTCCCACCTTTCCCTCTGTGGAAAACGCGCCCGCTAAATGCCGTGATTACGCCCGCTGAAACGCGCGAAATTTGCCGAAAATACACCATATTACGTCAGACGTATCTGGAACCCGGGGTTCACGCTGTTGCGTCGACTGCGTTGCGCTGCGTTACGTCGTGCAGCATGCACAGCGCCTCCTCATTACTATAACAACTGCTTGACGCAAGCAGTCTTGACGCATTTAACGCAGATTTCTGAACCAGCCTTTAATATATGTCGCCTGTACGCGGGGGCTGTTTATGCTCCGTCGCAACGTCGACGAGCGCTCGACCGCGTTTGCCGACGCCGGCTGTGAACGGGTGTTTTTTGTTCGCGTCGTCTTGCGCAACGCGACGTGGCGCAGCGTAGCGCAGCGTAGCGCAGCGCTTCGGCGTAGCTCACGACCGGGTTCGAGATTGCTCTGTTCTCGCCGTTGACGAGTGCAGCCCCTTTGCGAAGACCGACGACGGCGACTATCCCAGAATCACTCGCGCAGGCGCCATATTCGTAAATTCGGGGTAGGTCATGGGTCGGGCCATCTCCGGGTGTGCGAAGCACTCCTATCTGCGATCTGAGCCTGCCGTTCTTTCCGTGTGTCGGCGTGCTGTCCACGAGTTTCCGTGTTGGTGTGCGTATTTAACGTTAGTGCGCTCGACCTGGCGAGTGTGTGCGTGGACGTGGGCGGCTCCGAGGATGTTTTACCGTGCTACCTCTGTTAGTCGTGTAGGTCAAGCCGGTGGTGGTCGGGGCCAGTGTGTGGCGCTCCCTTCGGGGATCTGAACCCGTCGTTCATGCTGTGTGTCGTGGGCTGTTGTCGTGTTTGCCGTGTTGGTGTGTGCCTCTAATGTTCGTGCGCTTGACTGGGCGTTGTGTGCCGCCATCTTTCAATTGATGACGAAACCGAGTGCTAGGGACCGCCCGTGACTTGATGGAAAGCAGACATCGCATGTCTAAGATGTTTAAATCCTGGCACAGAATTGGTGCGCTTACATTCGCATAAAACCTTTTTAGACGTTTATGTTTGCAATAGGGGTAAGCATATACGGCTCTGGGGGCAAGGTGCTTAGAATCGGGTGATAGTTGCGATATGCATGCAATAAATGCGCTTGTCGTTTGAAAACAGCGTCGGATCCGACTGCCGTTTTGCCGGATCGGTGTCGTCTGACCCGTCTTGAGACACCACGTTGCGTATACGTCCGACGTACCTTCTGACACAGCGTTCATATTCGCCGTCCGAAACATGTTTCGAACAGAAAACGGTGTGGCTGTTGGGCCCGAACTTCTCTGTTTGCATAGAGGGAACCCAGCTCTTCGACATCTCGGTGTCGGCGTGAAAGGGGCGGTAGTGAAAGGAGCAACTGCGCCCAACTCGGTTCATGCAGACGACGGCTACGCGGGAATACGAGTCAGGCGCTTCAGCGCAACGAAAATTCCGACGACCTGTGAACAGACAAGAGATCAATAAACATGTCGAGCGATCAAATCGATATAACGACTAGTCAACGGATAAAAGCAAGCGTCATGCAGCGGCAGAAAGACGACGGCTCAGAATGTCAACATGAGTTACGAGAGAAGCGCGGCCAGTCTCGGCCAGTCCCGTGTTTCCCCGAGCCTGTCCTTTCGTGACGTCGACTGTCGGACTTCCTCCTATGTCCCGTTTCTTTCTACCTCGTACGGTCGTAGTTTCGGCGCTACTTTCGAGGCGTTTTTTGGGCTAATCCGCGCATAAAATGATCAAAAGTGTATGCTATTCGTAATGGCTAGGGCCTAGCTAACAAGGTGCAAGTGTTTTTTTCTCGTATCTAAAACGGCTTCAGCTTCCCTTTAAGTTGGTCTTGCTGTTAATTCCAGTTCTTCATTTGAATATTAAAATTACGATCTTCAATTGTATTTTTTCCGATAAGCATTATTTTTATACCCTCTTGCAAGTTATGGAAGGTCTGGAGTTCAAGCGGCAATTTGTCGTTTTGCAGCGTTTCATGGCTACGAGCAGCGTAATGGGAGACAGCGACCAGGCCCAAGTGGAGATGACGTCTTTCAGGGTGGCTGATTCCTCCGACATCCTCGACTGGAGGCCCATGCTGTTTCAAGAGCCCATCATTGCACGCAGAGCATGTGTCCTGTGCGGCGTCGTGTACAAGAAAGCGGTCAGGCTGCCTTGCCTCCACTCGATGTGCGTCAAGTGTCATGCCCAGTGCGTCGAGCAAGGAAGCGCATGTCCTGTCGATCAGGAACCGTTCAGCGATAATGATGTCGAACAGCTGGAGGCCTCTCTCAACTACATATTAAAGCGTAAAGTAAGTCACCATGACCATTTCGTTACTCTCTTTATCTAGAACGTAGTACAAGTTTTTTTTTTATTTGCCATCATCAATACAATTAGAAGTACTGCATGTAACAAGGTGCACCCGATGAATTACTGCACCGGCTAATACCCAATCGAAAGGCAAAACATATTATAATGCACGCAATCATTACGATACCAGAAGTATAGGGCTTGATTTATTTGCTGTCTGGCGTCAATAGCATTTTCAGCATTGCTTTTGTCCTTGAGCTAATGTTTAAGTAAATGATAAAGCACATTTTGTCAATGTACTCCTAACTAATTAAACTTTGCGACATAAAAAATATTTCGAAAAATTGTCCACGCAGATAAATCGCCACGGGGCAACGGAAACACATAATAGCATTTATAACTGGAAATTTTTGTGGTCGCAAAATAAAGCTTTTCTGCAGTGTTTTTTTTTTTTTTGCGAAGGTTGCGTGCTGGAATGCACCTAGTGGCTGCAGCTTCATGGGTCTTTCATCCAGCCTCTTGGACCACTACAAGAAATGCAACTTCAGCATTGTGCCTTGCTGCCTGTGCCGCTCGTCGGTGCTGCGGAGTGACGTTCTGGAGCACTTCAAAAGTGGTTGCAGCATTTCTCAAGTCACATGGAAGCCTATCAGCAATTGTGCCACACTAGACCTCAAGGACATAAATACAGCATTTTTAGACGTGAAGAGAGCAATGGAAAAGATATCCGAGGACCTCATGACAATGCAGACCAGCCTGAGCCAATGCAGTGAAGGCGTCAAAGCGGAGGGCGCAAGGTGCAAGGGCCAGTGGGAGGCTGACGCTTCTAAGCTTTCTGAACAGCTTAAAGACCCGAGTACAGACTGCACCACCGGGTTTACCGAAGAGCTTCAGGTTCTTCTTACAACAATGACTGACTACAAAGAACACTTGAGCAAGGAGCTAGGTTTGCAGAGGGACGAATTGAGTGTGATCTCGGATGCGGTGTCACAGTGCTTGCTAAGTCAATGCAAGCCTAAGAGGGTCCATTGGTATATTGAGGTCTGGGCAGACCTAAAGAGGCACGGATCTGAAGGAGTGCGTATGGAGAGTCCTCGGAGAAGCATATTTGATTACGCTGTCTCCCTAGTTGTCACGCTCAAACCGCAGGACGGTGTGCTCAAATTTGGGTGCTTCATACAGATATGCCCCGGTGATCATGATTCGCAGCTGGAGTGGCCCTTCCGGAAGGTGTTCACGCTTGGTGTCATTCACCCCATGGACCAATCAAACGTGATATCATCCAAGGAAAATCCCAGTGACTGTGAAGTGGAATTACAGGTTGCCTTCCTAAAGCCCAAAGGTGGAAAAAATAATGAGGGATACGGACTGCCGACCCTATCAACAGCAGAAAGGCTGGAAAATGACGGGTTTGTTCAGGATGATACGCTGCATGTGTTCTTAGAGATTGAGCCATAGTCTGCTCCGTAATCTTCGAAAGAGTTCTATTCAACATTAAATGATTCTTCACTTGTAAGCCACTAAATTCTTTTTTCATTACTTCCCTGAGTATGATACAAAAACAGACTCAAGGCAGCTGTACTAATTTTTTAGACATAATATTTGTATACATAATTTCCAATCAATTTATCCGCTTTCCTCTCCTTGCCGATATGTTTGTGTGCTTGAATAAACTTTTTTTAGTTGATTGCTTTGCTTTTTAACTAACGTAATTTAGATTTTAGTTAAAGCCGTTTCTTAGTTATGCTTGAGTAAGCTGTGTTACTTTTTATAGCTACTTAATAAGAAACGACATGGGTCTTTGGTGCCATCACTTTTTTGGAAGTGACGTGTTTGAAATCTCGAGCTATCTTTCTCGTCTGTCAAGTTTTGGGTATTTCCACGTCAGATACGACTGTCCGGGTCATCTTTTTGTTATTTATGTAAGAAATATATGTAAAAGCCATGTTCTTGGGAAGAACATTCAGCTTTATGTGAACGCCGCAGTTGAAGTTTTCCAAGAGATATAAAATTGAGAAGCTCGAGGCGTGGACATTGCCGAGATTTCGCTATGGCAATTCGCACAGTCGCCAATGTCACTCCAAAGCAGGCACATAGTTAGTTCGTTTTTTTTTTTTTTATTTATCGTATTTTCCTAGTAAATCCTTCTGGAGAAACTATCGCCGTACCAAATTTGAGATAATGCGCTAGAATTAATTCCCAGCTATTTCTATTCGCTTTCTCAATATGCGGTATTTAATGGATTTCAATATCAACTCGCACCATAAACATCTGGCGTCCTGCGAGCTTCCATACTGGGGCCTCCTATTATTGCTAATTTATATAAACGATACCTAAATCGCGTGATATCATTTTATATGTTGATGATGCCAATCTCTTTTTTTTCAAGTGGAAATCTTAATCAGCTCGAGGAATTTGCAAATAGTTGTCTCAGTAAATTATTATTGTGACTGAAATGCAACCAGCTTAATCGTAACACTAGTAAAACAAAATATGTATTGTTCAGATCAAAAAACAAACCCACTTCGCGTACATTGAACATATTTTTTGACGGGGAAAAATTGAGGGAGTTAGATATCGCAAGTTTGTTGGTGTGTGATTTGAAGAACCACTCAGTTGGACTGTATACATAAAAAACTGAGGGTTGATATTTCAAGAGCAATAGGATTATTAAACAAATTCTGACAGTTGCTGCAAAACAACGTTGAAACTGCAATTATATTATTCGCTTATCTACTCACACTTGCAGTACTGTATGTTAGTATGGGGAACCACTCCAGAAACGAAAAAGCACAAACTATTCATTTTGCAAAAGAAGGCTCTTCGATTTACTGAGAACGTTAAGAGGTACGAACACCACTTCCCGGTATTTCAAAAGTATAAAATTTTAAATATAGAACAAATCCTGGTCCTTAAATTATCGACTTTTATTTTTAATGAAACAAGACCGAAGCAAGCACCCTTTCTTCATATGTACGCTCAAACCTCGGCCAATTACAGTCACAAAAGCGCACTGTATACGAAACCTGGGGTTCGAACTAATAACGTTACGCAGCCCCTTACATACCTCGCACCAGATCTACTAAACACACACCCAACCATAGAAGAAATGGCCCAAACACGCGTTTCGTTTTTCCGTTATAAAAAAAAAGGATTGCAGATTATATACTAAGCCTCTCAAGATCCGCAGTTAGTATGGAGTTGACAGTTGTGTTATGTGTGTTGTGGATCTTGCAATTGCTGTATTTTTGTATATTTATTCTGTTTATATTTCTGTTTCTCAGTCGAGCGCTGAAGAATGGGGCTAGAGCCTCGTCAGGAGACGAGTTGTCTTCTTTTCGCCCAGCCCTCCAGACCCTTTTGTGTCTAAAATAAAGGATACATACATACCGAACGGTGCGTGAACGCGACGCCGATGTCCAACAACTTCGCTGCGACGTGTCGCAGCTATCGCCGTGGCTGTAACGTAAATATTAACATTGAACTGCTCTTTTTTTTATTCGGCTTTCGCACAAAGCCTTTTCCATAGGTTTCCCCTAGGTAACTTGTGGACCAATTATCCCTGATCTTCAGTCTCGTTGAAGTTCAACTGAGGCGCTCCACTGGGGAGTCCTTCATAATAAAGCCCCGTTTCCCTCGAATGAGCGGCTGGTCGGGCAAATTCGCGCCGAAGCGCTGCAGGGAACGCTGGATCCGGGCTTACTTCTTTATCATTAGTAACCGGCTGCGTTTTAGGGTGGCCAATATCTTCAATCTTCGAAAAAGAAATGTTCCAGACAGCGGAAATATGGTTAGCCCAATGACGACCTGTCGTGACCTGATCTGCTGTATTTTCAAGGGCTGGGGAGTCCCCCAATTTACTCTGGTTGGGTTCTCCTCAACCTTGAGTCGTATTGGGGGTGCTGTGCCTGTGTCCAATGCTTTCTCTATCCCACGGGTCGCCGCATTAAAAATAAACGCCCGGAGCAACCAAACATTTTCGAAAAGCTTGGATGCCTTCAACTGCAATCGTTGCCCCGTATATTTAGTTGTGTTATGCCAGAATTGCGTTTAGGCGACGTTTGATCGGATTGCCACTAGTTTGCAAAGACGTAGGAAGTATGTTCGCCTGACTGCCTCGGGGCTTTTGGCTGACCCGTTCAACCAGTTAAGCGCTTGTTTCGTAAGTTACGACAAATAACGAGTAGGGTACGGTTTTCCTTTTAGTGGTGATTTTTATTTTTGCTTCATTGTTGAAAAAACACAGCATCGAGTTATTCTTAGATGTCTTGACTTTATGACCAGTAAATACTACTTAACTGGAGAAAGCGACACATCAAACAAAACTACAAAATGTGAAAGTCAAACATCAAGTCAAACGGTATGATTCGCACAATGTCTCATTTGAGACATTGTGCGAATTTCAAAATGAGACAGCTTAGAGGGGTACAATGAGACACACTTAAAAAAAAACTTGTACGCGTTCAGTTTCTGCAATAAAACACTTAAAACGCACAGTGGGAGCTCCAACGCACTCTTCATGAGCCCACTCCTTGCATTCCATGCACTCGATCCATACTGAATGCGGGGCTGCTTGGCTCCAAACTGCTTTACATTCTGCGAGTATCTTGTGGTGTGCATCTCACAATCTGAAGAACACTCGGACACTGCGCGCTTCTTCGAGAAACACTAATAATGTTCTACTTAAAATTCATGTCTTTTTTTACATTTATCGGGTCGTTTGACTTGCCTTTTGAGCGCATCCTGTGGTACGCCCAAACCTGTGGCAGCAGTGCGAAGGAAGTAACGCTGTTGCTTGACACTTTCAAGAGCTTTCTTCATGTCCCTTTCGCACTATAAAGCCCTAGCTTGCTTTATGCGTTTGGACCATCCTAAACACCGGAATATAAAGACTTTGGCTCAGGAGCAACCAGGAGAATCGTCCGTTTTTGGCATGCGCGTCATAGAATGCCAGAATGTTGCGTTTCGCCCCACGCGTATCTTGGTATGTAAATAAATGTTTCATTAAAGAAAGCAACCACAGATTGCTCACCTTTGATCCTCATGGAGCTAATAAAGCATACCAATAAAATTAAAGCTTGGCAAAAATAGTCGGTGCCAACCGGGTGCACGTCTCAAAGCGAAACATCGCGCTGAATATTGCGCGTTTTTTGAAGGGGGGTAAACTCGTCAACTTTAATTCTCCAATTTGTTTTGTTCCGGAACGCTCCTGCCGCCAGCGTTTATATTTTGCACGCGCGAAGTGTACAGGGAGCGGCACCTCTCGGTGAAGTTTGAACGTTCTCGGATTGCTTTTTTAGGCAATGGATGGATCGGGCTAAACACAAACTGTCGCATTTTTCCGCTCGTCTCATTTTGCCCAATCTTACTCTAATACAGATATAGTGCCGCTAGTACCACAGTGTGAGAAGGAAGGAGTAACGGCATAAGAAAAATGGGCAGCGTTTGCAGTAAGACTTGTAGCACATTTCTCGATTGTTTTAGATGACTTTATGGAAACTTGGTTTGAAAGTGCGAAATTTGATCTCCGTCCATGAAATTCAGAATTTGAACTTAAAATCGACACTTTCAAACTTTTCGAACTTGTACAGTGAGAACTTCAAATCTTCGAATGCTTCAAACTGAAATTTAGAAACAAATTCTAAATGTTCAAATTTTTTGAACGATCTGTCAAAAAATTGAAAACCTTCAAACTCGAACTTTTAGAAACCTTTGACATTTTAGAATTATTCGAATTCTAACCTGAGTTGGGTTCTAAAGTTGCGTTCTTTAACAATTGGAACCTTAAGGGGGTTTGAAATGTTCAACACCTTTCAAACTCGACCTTTGAGAGGTTCGCGGCTTTCCTAGTTTTAACACACTTCTTCGGCGAATGACGACGAAGGATCAGACAACATTTCATCACCACGCTGCCACCCAGACCCCGCAACGCTCCAAAAGGTCGATTTTCCGTGTCCCAAGATGCCCGTACGGTGGCCGCACTTGCACTTCAGCGACCAAGCGGGGTGCGCGATCCAGCAAATTGCCATAGAAGTCAGTGGCCTGGAGAGTGTGGAGCCGCAGTTCGCGAAGTCAGAGGGCGTGATGCTGGTAGTGGTATCCCGAAGGCAAAAAGGACGAAGTTTGTTATGTGGGAGACGCCGCCAAACAAGGCCTCTAGTGCTGAGTGTCCCACGTTACCACCGGAGGCCAGCGCGCGGCACACATTGGAGTCCAATCATTGGACAGGGGTATTACGTCAGCATTCGGATGGGACTCGTGTCCTCACTGATTGGACACGAGTCCCATCCGAACGCTGACGCAGCACTCGTGTCCAATCATTGGACTCCAATATGTGCCCCGCGCTGGCCTTCGGTCGGAAACGTAGAACCACCAACACGAGAGGCTTTGTTATCTAGGAAGATTTGCTGGAAAGGGACGAACTCCCGACTCCGCAAAAACGCAGCAGGAGCGGCAGCAGGGGCGGCAGCAGAGGCAGATCCGAGAAGAGCAATGGAGGGGACGCTCAAGGGTGAAGCACCTCGTTCCAAACGGCCAGCATGCAGGACTGGAAGGAAAAGAAAGTAATAAAAAAAAAAAGGAAGTGGGCAGAACAGAAATATTTAAAGTGCTTTTAACTCATCCTTTGCCGGTTATCATCTGAGAGCTGCGTGTCGACGGGCCAGAAAATGCGCAAAGTAATTGA